ATCCTCCCACCTCAGCCTCCCAAGTAGCTGGGACCACAGGTGCATGCCACCACGCCCACCCAATTTTGTATTTTTTGTAGAGACAGGGTCTTCCCATGCTGCTTAGGCTGGTCTTGAACTCCTGAGCTCAAGTTCTCCTCTCACCTTGGCCTCCTAACATCCTCATATTACAGGCATGAGCCACTACCCCCAGCCCGATTCTATTTTTAATGTATAAAAATGCAATAAGAGGTATAACAAAAACCCTCCTTGTGCCCTACTCCCTCATCCCTGAGGTAGTGCTACTCTGCATTTAGTGTACATCCTTCCAGACTTTTCCCCATTTGCCTACATTCATATTTACATAAAGCAAAATAGATTTGCTGTGTGATTTTAAAAATCTTTTTTCTTTACATAAATGGTAACATCTTGCAATTTGATTCTTTCACTTCATGATATGCCTTAGATTTCTTTCCTTCCCAGTACTCAGATGGTCACCCCATTCATTTAAACTCCTGAATCATCCATAGTCTGGATGCATCATAGTTTATTTAATAATTCCCCCATTGATGAATATTTAGATTATGCTTAGTTTTCTTGTTACATGCATTGCTGCAGTGAAATCCCTGTACATGCTTCTTTGTGAACATGGGCAAGTATTCCTGTAGCATAGATATCTAGAAATGGAATTGTTGAAGCGAAGACTATGTAGATATAAAATTTTAATTGCCCTCAAAAATGTTGTGCCAACTTACTCTAAGTTGGAAAATACCCAGCGGTGAAAAGGTGTGGGGAGATGACATCATTCATTTCCCCACACCTTTTCACCGCTCGGTATTCTCCAACTTTTTGTTGATGTTATGGATGAATAAAAGTGATTCCACCTAAATTTGAATTTTTCTGATTACTCATGAATTTAATTAAATATCATTATATGTTTATGGAACATTTGTGTTTCTTCTCTGAGTTTTCTATCCTTTGTTCTTTTTCCTGTTGAATTGTTTTATCCTTTTCTTACTGATTTGTAGAAGGAATTGGTTTAGACACAAATGATTTTGGAAAAAATGCTTACATTCGAAGTAACTGGCATTTTTCACAACAGTTTGTGTGTCACATTACCAGTTCAACTTATATAGACAAGCCATACGTGAGTTCTAAATTAAAAATAAAACACATGCTAGGTGCGGTGGCTCACGCCTGTAATCCCAGCACCTTGGGAGGTCTAGGTGGGTGGATCACCTGAGTTCAGGAGTTTGAGACCAGCCTGGCCAATATGGTGAAACCCCGTCTCTACTAAAAATGCAAAAATTAGGCAGGTGTGGTGGTGGGTGCCTGTAATCCCAGCTACTTGGGAAGCTGAGGCAGGAGAATTGCTTTATTTATTTTTTGAGACCTAATTTTGTTCTTGTCGCCCAGGCTGGAGTGCAATGGTACGATCTTGGCTTACTGCAACCTCCACCACCTCCACCTCCTGGGTTCAAGCGATTCTCCTGTCTCAGCCTCCTGGGTAGCTGGAATTACAGGTGCCCGCCACCATGCCCAGCTAATTTTTATATTTTTAGTAGAGACAGCGTTTCACCATGTTGACCAGGCTGGTCTTGAACTCATGACCTCAGGTGATTCACCTGCCTTGGCTCCCCAAAGTGCTGGGATTACAGGTATGAGCCACCATGCCAGGCCAGAGCTACATTTTAAAAGCAAGACAATTATTACAAAAATCAGGATAGTTGTTACCTAATTTGGGTTAGAGAGAGGAATTTGATTGGAAAGGGGCACACTGGGGCTTCTGGGATGCTAACAATGTTCTTTTGTAACAATATGGGTATCTCCTTTTTAATTATTAAACTGAATATTTGGCCAGGTGAGGTGGCTCATGTCTGCAATCACAACACTTTGGGAGGCAGAGACAGGAGGATCACTTGAGCCAGGAGTTTGACATCGGTCTGGGTACAGAGTGAGACCCTCAGAAATTAAATTAAATAAAATACAAAGAACATTGATGTCCTGTACACTGTATGCACATTGTAGTTCTCACATTTTTTTTGATGGGGGTAAAAGGTTGAATGGCTTCACTTGCAGCCCTGACATGGTTCCGTGTGGGGCTTTCATTAGGTTTGGGAAAAGAGGAGAAAATGGAAGTTCTGCTGATCTTGGTGCCACCCAGAGGTGGATTCTAACAGGGACTTTGGGATCTAGAGAGGAGGCAGTTTGGTGGGAAGAGTGGGTAGGGGTGTGCTTGTGTGTGTGTGCGCTTTCCTGTGTGTGCCTGTGTGTGTGTGTGTGTGTGTGTGTGTAGTGGTGGACAGAGATGGACACAACAAGGAAAATGTAAGAAAATATTTGAATGAAAGCAGAGCAGATACCACCGTCTTGAAATGACCATGACCCAGCTTTCCCCCACATGCAGGACATAGTCCTGTGCGGCAAATAGTTGTACTTTGCATTTTAATCTAGAAATAACTTTTTCATTTTCCAGAATTCTCAATGAAAATTATTTGACTGAATTACATAAAGATTCATTTGAAGGCCTGCTATCCCTCCAGTATTTGTAAGTTAGTTAATCACATTTATGAGTTTTTAGTCGTATTATCTGTAAAATGAATAAGGGGTTCAAATTAGATAATCTCTAAGATTTCTTCCAGCAATAAAATTCTGCAATTCTGTAGGTTTGTATAGGGTCTCAGCCCATCTCTAGCATTAGCTATGTCCTATGCATTTTCAGTTTTCAAATTATATAGACAAAATGCAGACAGAAAAAAGTTTCACATGGTAAGAAGATCTGAGCAGTGACTGACACTCATATGAACCTTGTTTTATAAGGGTTCACACACCATCTTCTTCTATTCAGTCTACAACCAATAGATCAAATCTAATCCATGGTCTATTTTTAAATAGCCCATTAAGTTAAGAATGGTTTCTGCATTTTTAAAGGACTATGAAAGTAAAAGAAAAGAAAGAGAAATATGTGAGAGAGATCATATGTGACCCACAAAGCCTAAAATATTTACTGTCTGACTTTCACAAAAAAAGATTTGAAAAAGTTGGTTTAGTAGGATGAAAGGAATTAAAGTTAACTTCAGATTGTTGCCTAAAGGAGAAGAAAATATAGACCACCTACATTCATTTGAACATCATTAATCCAGAAATTTTTGGTAATTTAATATGAATGAAAATAACAGTAAATATTAAAAATCAGCTGAATTGTATAAATAATAGATCAAGAATATTAAGCTACCAATAGAATAGACTGGTATTAAGGGTTTCATTTCAGGAATTGTTATATGAAAACAGATGTTTAAAATGATGGTTAAGTGGTAGAGCTAGAAATGTTTACACTAAGAAGCATACCAGAAATGCCCCTAACTCTTCACCAATTACAAAATACTATCTCCCCAACCCTGTTACCAAGAAAGTGATACCTGCATAGTATTTCTGTCTGTTTAGAGACAAGAAGATACTATGTTCATTGCTATGGAAGCTTGATTCTTATCCTTTGTCCATAGAGGTGTGTATGTCGTTAATCCTTATTAAGCTCATTAGTGATGCTGTTTTGCAAACAGATTCTTTCAAATGTAGAGGAATTAAGGCAAGTGGATATAAAGACCCTCAAGTGGATGCCAAAGTGCTACGTGGCCATGAAGTAATAAAACTACATTTCCTTTAAAATAGTCATTTTCCTTCTACTCCCCCAGTTATTCATTTATTTAACAAATATTTGAATTTGCTTTATTTCCATGTGTCAGTTTTAAACATGGTGGGCAATGCAGATGAGCAAAACCTAGTCCATGCTTGCAAGGAGTTTATGCTCAGAAGAAATGGTATAAAAAATAACTACATTAAAAAGAAGAAATGGATGTGGGCATGAGGAGGGATACATTGTTTCTGGAGCATAGAAAAGGGGAAAATGCCTTCAATCTGGACCCAGGAAGATGTTACTAGAACAATGCCGTTTGAATAGGACTTTGAAGGGCCATTGTGTAACATCGGACAGACATCTTGGGGACAGTATTCTAAACTTGCAAAAGGAAAATGGGAGAAGGGCAAATCACAGGAAAGTGTTCGAGGAATACCATGAGTACCTGTAGAGTACAAGGAGGAAGAGTAGGAAATTGGAACCAGATCTTCTAGGGCTTTGAATGCCAAGCTGAGGAACCATCATGGGGAACTGTGTTACCGCAGCAGTGCTGTAGATAGATCTGCATCACAATCACTGAGAGGGCGCGTTAGAACTCAGTTCCGGACTCCGCGCTCGTGGTTACTGATTCAGTTGGTCTAGAGTGGGACCAAGAATTTGCATCTTCAATAATTTCCCAGGAGATGCTGGTCTTTGCAAACCACTTGTGGAGAGTTTATCTGATGACTGTGTGCAGGATAGTTTAGGAAGGGAGAGACTAGAGATGGAGACATCAGCCAGACAGCGTTACACCATCCAGGTAAAGAGGGAGGGACCAGTCCCATCACTGTGTAACTGAAGAAATTGCTTTCATGAAATATTAAAGCAATATAAAACCAAAAATGAGTTTCTATTAATATGATAGAAATTGATTCTATGAATATGATTTGAATTAGTTCAAAGTTATGTGTTAGTTAAAGGGGTAACTTCCTTTCAAATGATGTGAAAGAATGTCTTTTATTTCTTCTGATATTGAACTGGCTTAGGAAAACAGACCTAAACTAGGAAGGTGTATAAATGTGAGACTTTTTTTTTTAGTATTAGAAACTATATGTAAAAACTTTGAGCTCATAATCTAGGATTTGATGAGACGACAAAAGGGCATCTAATCAAGTCTACTGCTCTCAGGAAAAATTCATTCCAAAGTCTATTAAGATGTATATTCTATTTATGAAAACCATGAAGGTGAGACTCTAGGAGAGATATGGGCAGGGTTAGGGGCTCTGGAAAGTTCAAACACAAGTCGAGACATTTAGAGTTGAGATGAAAAATGTGTATTCAATATTATTCTAAACTCTTGCTATTATTCATACTAATCTACATCTAATAACTAATCAAGGCAATATTTTTCTTTTATTTTTTCCTAGAGATTTATCCTGCAATAAAATACAGTCTATTGAAAGACATACATTTGAACCACTACCATTTTTGCAATATATGTAAGTTACAAATATAACTTGATTACATTTGGAATTTTTATAAAACTTAATTATAAACCTCTTTGAAATATGATTAAAATTTTACCAGTAGGAAGCTACTAAAATTATAGAGCAAATCCTTTTTGTCTCTAGCAAAGATTAGTGTGAGAATTACAAAGATCATAGTGAATCATGAGAAAGCAGTGGTCCTCAGCTGGTGTGATTTTGTACTCAGGTGACATTTGGTAATGTCCAGAGACAGTTTTGGTTGACAAAACTGTGGGTGTGCTCCTGGCATCTAGTGGGCAGAGGCCAGGGATGCTGCTAAACATCCTCCAAGGTACAAGACAAATGCCCACAGCAAACAGTTATAGAGTCCAAAATGTCGATGGTACTGAAGTTGTGAAATCCTGTTCTAGAGAAATAAAGATCACTTCACACTTCACACAGGTATTTACTGAGCGCTCACTGTTTTGTAGCTAATGCACCACATGTGCAATGCTAAAGTATAAATCATAAGCCAGTATCTTCCACGGTGAGATTTCCTTAGTGCATAGAGAAAGGATTAGGGTTATGTTCCATCCTATATAAATTAGAATCACAGCAAATGATAAATGTTCTGAAATTTTTTTTTTTCTTTTGGCTTGTGTCTTTTTTTGTAGAAATCTTGGTTGCAATTTACTCACAGAACTGAGCTTTGGAACATTTCAGGCCTGGCATGGAATGCAGTTTTTACACAAGTTGTAAGTGAAATAGAAGATGAATACATGTAAACAACTATTTATGTATAAAAATACATACAATTATTGGTTAGCTGGGTACAATTCCATTATGAACTCTGAAAAGGGTGTCTTAAGATCCATTCATTTTTCTCAAATGGGGAAACTAAGGTACAAAGAGGCCAAGAGATGTACATAGCTTATATATGACTTGCTCTGCTTGTGCTAGTTCTGACCTTTGGCATGGGCAAGAAAAGGCATCAAACAAGTGACCCTCAAATCAGCCTTGTTGCTGGGTAGGGTGGCTCAGGCCTGTAATCCCAGCACTTTGGGAGCCACATGTTCTCACTTATAAGTAGGAGCTATACATTGAGTACATATGGACAAAGAAAGGAACAACAGGTACCGGGGAGGTATTGTTCCTATGTCAGGTGGGACGAGGGTGAGAATCAAAAAGCTACCTATTGTGTACTATGCTTATTACCTGGGTGACAAAATAATCTGCACACCAGACCCCTGTGACATGCAATTTACCTGTATTAGAAACCTGCACATGTACCCCTAAACCTAAAATAAAAGTTATAAAAAATAAATGAAGGCTGGGCGTGGTGGTGGCTCATGCCTGTAATCCCAGCACTTTGGGAGACCAAGGTTGGTGGATCACCTGAGGTCAGGAGTTTGAGACCAGCCTGACCAACGTGGTGAAACCCCGTCTCTACTAAAAATACAAAAATTAGCCGGGCATGGTGGCAGGTGCCTGTAATCCCAGCTGCTCAGGGGGCTGAGGCAGGAGAATCGCTTGAACCCAGGAGGCGGAGGTTGCAGTGAGCTGAGGTCATGCCATTGCACTCAAGCCTGGTGATAGAGCGAGACTCTGACAGAGATGGGGTTTTACCACGTTGGTCAGGCTGGTCTGGAACTCCTGACCTCAGATGATCCGCCCGCCTTGGCCTCCCAAAGTGCTGGGATTACAGGCATGAGCCACTATGCCTGGCCAATAAATGGAAATGTTGACTCAAAAGAAGGAAAGGAGGGAGGGAAATGAAGAAAGAAAGAGAAAGAAAGAAAAGAAAAATGTAAAAACCCGTAAAGTTAAAGTAAACCCTTTTTCTTCCTACAGATTAAGCACATGAGTTCAGATTACAGCTTTGCTTCTTTTTTCTTTCTTTCTTTCTTTCTTTTTTTTTTTTGGCGGGGGGGGTGGAGTTTTGTTCTTATTGCCCAGGCTGGAGTGCAATGGCACGATCTTGGCTCACCGCAACCTCCTCCTCCCAGGTTCAAGCGATTCCCCTGCCTCAGCCTCCTAGTAGCTGGGATTACAGGCATGCGCCACCACACCCAGGCTACTTTTGTCTGTTTAGTAGAGATGGGGTTTCTCTATGTTGGTCAGGCTGGTCTTGAACTCCCGACCTCAGGTGATCTGCCTGCCTCAGCCTCCTACAGTGCTAGGATTACAGGCGTGAGCCACCGCACCGGCAGTTTAGCTTCTTAATAGCTTGGTGACCTAGGACAAGTTGTGTAACCTCAGTTTCCTCATTTATAAAATAGGGCAATAATATCTAGCACATAAGGTTGTGGAGAGGATTAAATGTGAAATACCGATCACAAACACCTAGCAGCCCAATAGATACTCACTGTAATAATTATTATTTTTATAATTTCTGCAATAGTGATGATTCTTGGGTTAATGTAAAGGCTGATTTTCTTTTATTTCTTCCTGTTTCTTTTCTTTTTCTTGTTCACTTAAAAGAATTAAAAAGAAAATAGATTGCAGCATTTTGGAATAAAAAATCCCATCGAAATGAATGTATTCATTTTATTGACATATAAACAAAATGTCATTTGTTTATTCAATAAACTTTTTTATTTATTTATTTTTTTTGAGACAGTTTTGCTCTTGTTGCCCAGGCTGGAGTGCAGTGGTGCGATCTTGGATCACGACAACCTCCACTTCCCAGGTTCAAGCGATTCTCCTGCCTCAACCTTCCCAAGTAGCTAGGATTACAGGCATGCACCACCAAACCCAGCTAATTTTATATTTTTAGTAGAGTTAGGGGTTTCTCCATGTGGGTCAGGCTGGTCTCAAACTCCCGACCTCAGGTGATCTGCCCACCTCAGCCTCCCAAAGTGCTGGGATTACAGGCATAAGCCACCACGCCCGGCCCAATAAACATTTATTAAATGCCTAGTAAATTTCAGACATCATGCCAGGCATAGGGATGACAATGAGAATAAGATGCGGTCTCTGCCCTCAAGGAGCTGATAGTCCAGGAGACTGACAAGTAGACAGGTGATTACATGCAATGTAACAAAGGCTGTGATGTCATACAAGAAGACAAGTGGGAGTATATGATGGGAGTATGGTTTTGACCCGTTCCTTCTCTTAGATTTATCCCTTTTTCTTTGGCTATAAAGCAAAAGAATTGGTCCTATTTTTTTCCTTAACTGTGCAGATTAAACCATGAATTTGAAAAACTTTATAAAGATAAAAGGCAAGCAGTCAGGCACAGTGGTTCACACCTGTAATCCTAACACTTTGCTAGGCTGAAGGGAGTGGATCACCTGAGGTCAGGAGTTCAAGACCAGCCTGGCCAACATGATGAAACCCAGTCTCTACTAAAAATACAAAAATTAGCTGGGAGTGGTGGCGGACACCTGTAATCCCAGCTACTCAGGAGGCTGAGGCAGGAGAATTGCTTGAACCCAGGAGGTGGAGGTTGCAGTGAGCCGAGATTGTGCCATTGCACTCCAGCCTGGGCAACAAGAGCGAGACTCCGTCTCAGAAAAAAAAAAAAAAAAAAAAAAAAAAAAAATGAGCAACTTGAATTATGGACAAGCAACCTGAATTATGGTGGACACTAGAAATAGTGTTTCCTACAGAGTCGGGGCTTCCTACCAACATAGTCACTTCTAGGGTTTTTGACCTGAAAAATTCTGTGGCATATTTTTTCTTTGCTATCCACTTTTTTTAATTTTTTCTATTTCTTCCCCTGTTTCTCTCCTCTACTTTATCTTCTAGAGATCTAGGTAGTTCCCAAAGGAATAGTGCTTTATGAAGTCTAATGGTGATTTATTAGGTAAAAATAGAAAATGATTTTTCTTTTTTACCTACAAGTTCCATACCAAAAAATGAATATAAACTTTTTATGCAATTTCACACTTTGAAAATGCAGATAATTTTAATTCTATTGCATTTTTCAGAATTCTCAATCGCAATCCTCTGACAACTGTTGAAGATCCGTATCTCTTTAAATTGCCGGCATTAAAATATTTGTAAGTACTATAGTACTTTCATGAGTCATGAGATGATTTATGCTCTTTTTAAATTTTTCATCAAAGATTAAGTATTTTGCATTTAGGCTAAAAAGTCATAATTTAAATTTTAACTGAGTTATTGAAAAAAGTTATTGGCAAAGAAAAGGATTAAGAGAGGATTAAGTGTAATGGTCAAGACAGCCAGCAGGGGAAGAGAACAGTGTTGAAGAACCTGTATAGATTTGGAACATGTAGACACATGGAAGAATATTACTTAACCAAGAAAGCAAAGAAGAATAGGTGTTCATTATTCTAAAAAAGAAGAAAAGGGTAAATAATCAAGATGGGTGAATGCAATATGAAATGAGAAGTAAGATAAATGGTAAAAAAAAAAAAAAAAAGTGTGAGTTCTATTCTTGAATATCATTAATTTGATGATGCAAATCAAATTTCTTTAATAAGAGGTCTCTGGAATTCTGCGGCAAATAAACTGTTGAGCTGGCTTGTTTAATAGAGAAGCCAATATTGAAGTAATCACATGTCTTTGAATTATCTTTTTAAGTACAGAATTTTTTATTGGGGTTCATATCATGAATGTTTCGGCTTTCTTCTTCAGAGACATGGGAACAACTCAAGTCCCACTTGCAACACTTAAGAACATTCTCACGATGACTGTTGAACTGGAAAAACTGTAAGTTATTTTTTTCTTAGATTTATTTTTACTTAATTGGTTCTTTAGGTTTGTTTTATTATTTTTTTAAGTCAGGTTTATTGATATATAATTTTCATTTAATTCACCCTTTTTAAGGGTACAGTTTGATGAGTTTTGACAAATGTATAGTTACATAACCACCACCACATTCCCAATATAAAGCATTTCTGTTGCCTCAAAAAGGCCCCTTGTATCCCTTTGTAGTCGATCCCCTCCCCGCACCATCAGCGCCTGTTAGCTACTAATCTGATTTCTGTTCCTATACTTTTGCCTTTTCCAGAATGTCTTATAAATGAAATCATATAGCGTGTCGCCTCTTGTGTTTAGCTTCTTTCACTTCGCTTTTTTTTTTTTTTTTGAGACGGAGGTCCTCCGCTGTCACCCAGGCCTGCCAGTGCAGCGCATGACCTAGGTCACTGGCAACCTCCCGCCTCCAGGTTCAAGCGATCTCTCCTGCTGCAGCCTCAACGAGTTAGCTTAGATTTACAGGGTGCGTTGCCACACTGCCCAGCAATTTTGTATTTTAGTAGAGAACGGGTTCTATTGTGGCCAGGCTGTTTCGAACTCCTACCTCCAATTGATCCACCCAACCTCGGCCTCCCAAAAGTGCTTGGGTTAACAGGTGTGAGCCACCGCACCGTGCTCGGCCTCAGCAGAGTTCTTTTTTTTTTTTTTTTTTTTTTTTGGACAGAGCCCTCCGTTGCCTGAGTGCAGCAGCCAAGATCTCTCAGCTCACAGCCCGCAACCTCTGCCGTCCCAGGTTCAAACAGCGTTCTCCTCCCTCAAGCATCCCTGAGCTAACTGGCATGTATACCTCGCACCACCACACCAAGCTAATTTTGTATTTAGTAAAAGAGATGGGTTTTCCTTCCTTGTTGGACCAGTGCTGGTTCAAACTCCTGGCCTCACTTGATCCACCCACCTTGGTCCTCCAAAGAAGCGGATTACAGGCGTAAGCCAGCCTGCCCGTCCCACAAGATTCTTATATTAGTTTTTAAAGAAATGTTTGCCTTTCTACTGCTTAATGTGTAGTGGAATCTCATTGTGGTTTTAATTTGCATTTCTTTAATAGCTAGTGATGTTGAATAGTCATGTGCAAATATCTTCTTTACTAAATTGTTCAAATCTGTTCCCATATTTTAATTGGATATTAGTCTTTTTATTGAGGTTTTTTTTCCTGTAACCCCATGAGAGATTCATTATTATTGAATTTTAAGAGTGCTTTATAGAGTCTAGATACAGGTCCTTTCAGGGACCAGGTACAGTGGTCCCTGCACATTGGGAGGCTGAGGCAGGAGGACTGCTTGAGGTCAGGAGTTTGAGACCACCTGGGCAATATGGTGAAACCTCATCTCTACCAAAAATATAAAAATCAGTCAGGTGCGGTGGTGCTCACCTGTGGTCCCAGCTACTCGGGAAGCTGAGGTGGGAGGATTGCTTGAGCCAGGAGGTCGAGGCTGCAGTGAGCTGTGATCACCACTGCACTCCAGCCTGGGTCACAGAATGAGATACTATCTCAAAAATTAAACAAGTAAATAAAACAAAAAACAAGGCCTTTTAGATATGTGTTTGGTAAATATCTTCTTTCAGGTTGTGGTTTGTCTTTTCATTCTAAATATTTTCTAGCTGGGCACAGTGACTCACACCTGTAATCCCAGCACTTTGGGAGGACAAGGCAGGTGGATCACTTGAGGTCAAGAGTTCGAGACCATCCTGGCCAACGTGGCAAAACCCCCATCTCTACCCCCATCTCTACAGCCAGGTGTGGTGGCACACGCCTGTAATCCCAGCTACTCAGGAGGCTGAGGCACAAGAAGTGCTTGAACCTGGGAGGTGGAGGTTGCAATGAGCCAAGATTGCACCACGCAAGCTCCAGCCTGAGCAACATGAGTGGGGACTCTGGTCTCCAAAAAAAAAAAAATTATAACTAATAATTGAAAGCTAAAAGGGTTTGCTGAAAAGGCAGAAGTTTTTAATTTTGGATCAGCTTTAGAGTTAGCAATTTTTTCTATCATGGTTTCTGCATTTTTTGTTTTTACCTAAGGAAATCGTTTAAGAACCTGTTGTCGTAATCCAAAGGGAAAAAAAAGATGTCTTACTCCTATGTTCTTCTCGCCGCAGAAAATAGCTTAACTTTCCACCCGGTCTCATGATCGTTTTTAGTTAATTTTGGAACTATAGGTGTGAGGTATGTTTTTGTTTTTTTTTTTTGCAATTGATGATTTAGTGTTTGGAGAAACGAGCGGTCGCCACTAATGTTCGCGCCAGGCTGGTTTCAAAGCTCCTGGCCTCAGTGATCCTCCTGCCTCACCCTCCCAGAGTAGTACTGGGATTATACGGCGAATCCGCTCGGGCTTGACGGGCACCGGCCGTGGCGTTCTTTTGCGTATATAGTTACTATACAGAATCGTTGTGTACGGTGTGTGTGTGCTGTGGCGTATAATGTTGTATCATAATGTGTGAGTGTGCACAACCACACACACCAACCCTTGCCGGGGCTACTATACTTGGTATATGTGTGTATGGTGTATGATCGAGTGGTGTCTGGTGGTAAGTATGTATATGGTCGTGTGTTTATATATGTTGGTGTGCGTTGGTCTATGTTATATAATATCAGCCAGGTGTAGGTGACAGCTGTAGTCCAGCTACCTAGGGAGGCCTCGAGGTGGGAGGTCACGTGAACTCAGGAGGTGGAGGTTGCCATGAGCCAAGACTGGCCACCCACTGCACTCCAGCCTGGGGTGGACAGAGCAAGACGTCTGTTCATTAAAAAAAAATTAGTACGTCTATACTATATGGTGATATAGAGTCGCCTGTACTAATTTTTTAATTTTGTCTGTGATTAATATATATGGTGTGGTGCGGTCTGGGGTGTATATGTATATATTTCTGCAGGGCCCTACTGTGAGTTTGTTACACAACTGACTGCAACTTAAATAGTGCCACCACCCCACAATATGGCAAACTAAATAGAAACTCTGTTTTGCTAAGGCTGGTTGAGGGCAGTATGCAAGATTAGCATGGAAAGGGCCCTTCATTTCGCACTCTGTTAATTTTTGTCAGGTCACTTTCTTATCTTGTCCAGGTTGTCAGATCTGTTTTACTGCTCTAGCCTCACTTCCCTCAGCCTCTTGCAGCTTCTTTCCTGTCAGCTAGATCCCTTCCTCTCTGGATGAAGTCCTCTTCATCGACCAGCTTTCTCACTTGGTTCTCTAAGACAGTGAGGATCTGTCTGCTTTTTTCTTGACCATTAGTGGATAGGAAAAAAGCTCTCATTCTCTGTAACCATTTGTCACCGAGGCCATAAAGACATTGAACTAACTGCCTTATGGGAGTTCATTACTGGAAGTCTTCAGGAGTTTACACATTGATATACAAAGTAAGTAGGCCAGCGCATTTGAGTCTTGGCTCATGTGTAATGATCTTTAATGCATATTGAAAAATTACCATTCTCAAGTAAGGATAATGTATACGTCAGGTCATTTATAGTCTCAAAGATTTGTCAGTACACTTTAAAACAATCCTGGGAACAGTTCTAGACTGAAGGAGACTGAAGAATCATGAACACTAGGCGGCGCTGGGGCTGGCAAGCACATGGCGGAGGCAGTGCCGACGGCGGCTGCTGAGGCGGGCAGAGGGTTGGCGGCGCCTGGAAGCCTGTCACTGGCATGGTCCCTGTGGGGTGCTCGGCAGCGGGCATGTCGGTCGTGGGGCTGAAGAACCATTTCTACAAGGCAAGCCAGCTGGTCAGTGAGAAGGTGGGAGGGGCTGAGGGGACCAAGCTGGATGATGACTTCAAAGAGATGGAGAAGAAGGTGGATGTCACCAGCAAGGCAGTGGCGGAAGTGCTGGCCAGGACCATCAAGTACCTGCAGCCCAACCCAAACCTCGCAGGTAAGCTGACCATGCTCAACATGGTGTCCGAGATCCGGGGCCAGGTGAAGAACCCCAGCTACCTGCAGTTGGAGGGGCTCCTGAGCGAGTGCCTGCTCTGCCACCTGAAGGAGCTGGGCGGTGAGTCCAACTTCGGTGACACACTGCTGGATGTCGGCGAGTCCATGGAGCACCTGGTGGAGGTGAAGGACTCCCTGGACATAGAGGCCAAACAGAACTTCATTGACCCCTCCAGAACCTGTGCGAGAACAACCTGAAGGAGATCCAGCACCACCAGTTGGAGCGCCACCACCTGGACTTTGACTAAAAGAAGAAGTGGCAGGGCAAGATCCCCAATGAGGAGCTGCGCCAGGTGCTGGAGAAGTTTGAGGAGTCCAAGGAGGTGGCAGAAACCAGCATGCACAACCTCCTGGAGACCAATATCAAGCAGGTGAGTCAGCTCTCAACCCTGGTGGAGGCGCAGCTGGACTGCTACCAGCGGGCCGTGCAGATCCCGGACAAGCTGGCAGAGAAGCCCAAGCGCAGAATGCAGGAAGCTTCCTCAGGCTCCAAGCGGCAGTATAAGCCCAAGTCCCGGGAGCCCTTTGACCTCGGAGAGCCTGAGCAGTCCAACGGGGGCTTCCCCAGCACCACAGTCCCCAAGATGGCAGCTTCGTCTTTCCGATCTTCCGACAAGCCCATCTGGACTCCTAGCAGGAGCATGCCGCCCCTAGACGAGCGGAGCTGCAAGGTGCTGTACAACTTCGAACCCTAGAACCATGGGGAGCTGGGCTTCCATGAGGGTGACGTCATCACCTTGAACAACCAGACCAACTACAACTGGTATAGGGCATGCTGGACAGCCAGTCGGGCTTCTTCCTGCTCAGCTACATGGACACGCTCGTGCCCCTGCCGCAGTGACTCGCCAGTGCCCCGCCCCTCTGTCCACACTGGGTGGCACCCCCTGCCGGGTCTTCTGCCTTCCACCGGGCTCCTACTGCTAGGATGGTATCCGAGCCTGCCGGTGCCACCCAGTCCCAGGTCCTCGAGGTACTCCCTGAGCAGGGAGCCACACTTGGGTGGGGGGCTTATCTGGGTGGGTGGGGACGCCTGTTTACACTGGCGCTGACCCCCAACGGTGACAGCTCCCTTCCCTACTCCATTGCGCCAGCCTCCTCCCGGCTCCCCAACTCCTTGCCCAGCTGGCCGAGGCGGGGCTAACCCTAAGGTGCTCTCACAAACACTAATGTTCCACCGCGGCGGCACCCACCTCCGTCCTGACCCCACAGGGACCCGACCCACTGCCTGCCCTCGAGTCCTGTGGCCTTAACAGGATGAGATCGAGCGTCCCCGTGGGGTGGCTCAGAGACAGGACCTTGGTTTTAAATCCTGTCCCAGCCTGGTGCTGGAGATGAGCCCTGGCCCCACTCCAGGGCCACTGCACCCCTACCTCACACATGCACTCCTTCTCCCCAAGGCCAGGTCAGAGGGCCTCACTGCTTCCCCTGCCTGCTGTCAGCTTGCAGCCCGGGGACAGAGGCCAGCTGGGATCTGCCCCAGGACAGAGAACATAGCCTCCTTCAGAGCCCCGCCTCCAAAGCCCCTCCCTCACAAAGCCAAGTACCTTTTCAGCTTTTCAACTGCCCCCAGCCAGGGCCACGGAGGCCTGTGTCACTCTAGCACAAGCTGCCACCATCAACCACCCACATACACCCCAGCACACTTCGCACGGGACCACAGCCCCAGCCATGCTGTTGAGGCCAAGCACAAAGGCTCTAGTGAGCAAATGTTAAAGCTCCTGGTGGCCAGGCCTCCACTTTCCCAGCCGCTACCACCCCACCCTGTGGGAAGTGGCCCTGACCATCTCCTCTAGGCCACAGCAGGCAGCCCTGGGGTCTCCAGACCCCTGCCCAGACCAGCAGGTCCGCAGCCCCAACATCTGCTTCCTCTATCACCCGATCCAAAATCGATGAAATGGGGGGTCCTCTGGACTGGGCCACATTCACATTCCTCTCCCACTGTGGCTCAGCCTGAAGTCTCTGGACCCCAGGCTCTGCTCTGCACCCACCTTGTCAGCAGTACATGAAGGGCACAGACACCCTGGCAGAGATGAGCACACAGCCTTGGACACAGTCCAGGGCAAAGTGAAATGTGTGCCTGAATTTTGTAAACAGAAGTATTAAATGTCTTTCTACAAAAAGAAAAAAAAAATCATGAACACTAAATGTAATGTCTGATGTTTGGTGATGTTTAATTGGATTCTCAATTTTTTAGGCCATGATATGATTAGGACAATTGTGAAAATGTGTATATGGACTACATAGTAGACAATGATAATATTAAGTTCCATTGGGTGATGATAGTATTCTGGTTATGTAGGAGAATGCCTTGGTTCTTGGGGGCTGCACACTGAAGTCTTTAATGGTGAAGGGTCATTATGTCTGCAACTGACTCAAATGGTTTGTCCAGAAAATGTATAGACAAACACACATGGAAAGCAAATGTGACAAAGTATTAGCTACTGTGGATTCCAGATGAAAGTTATACAGGTGTTCATTAGACCATTTGAAAATGCTTCCCAGCCATCCTAAGGCTTAAAGAAAAAAAAAGAAAATGTTTAAAATCAAAAGTTGGGGGCAGGAAAAGAATAACAAAACCTCTGGGCTCGTGCCTATAATCCCAGCACTTTGGGAGACCAAGGAGAAAGGGTTGCTTGAGCTCAGGAGTTCGAGATTTTAGTAGAGACAGGGTTTCACTATGTTGCCCAGGCTGGTCTCGAACTCCTGAGGGGGTCTCGAACTCCATGACCCCCTGTCATGGAGACAGGCCCCTGAGTATTTTGAAAAACAATACAAAGGGCCCCTCTCTTCAACCTGCATCCAACAACTCAACTTACGAAAGTAAATTGAGAAAGCTGTACTTGCTGGAAAATATGTTAGATACAGAAATACAAGAAAAAATCAATGAAGTTAAAAGGGAAGTTAAAAGGGGGTCAAGGCTGCAGTGAGCTATGATTTTGCCACTGTATTTCATTCAGCCTGGGTGATAGAGTGAGACCTTGTCTTATTTTTTTTAAAAAGTAATTTTTCCCATAGTTAATAAATAATCTGTGAGGTGGTACTTTGAGATCACTGAAGATCCTGTTCTCAGATGTCTTTTCACCCAGCTGTCCATCAGTGATAATCCTTGTCTGAATCAATTTTTATTACTGGTGGTTGCAAAGTGACACTTTTTAAAATTCTGTCATTCCTTCCACATTTATTATCTGGCTTTATTTCATTAAAGAACTCCCCTTCTTTCTTTTTTAATATCATTCTTCATTGATTCTTTTTTATGTATTAATTTTGTTATAGCTTATTATTGTTGTTATTCTTTTGAATGCTCAAATTGTCCAGATTTTAGCAATGCAATCTCTGTTACTTTTTAACCCCACAATCCAGGTTGAACTAAACTATTTTTAATGCGCAGAGTAATTTCTAGTATTTCCCACTCCCAAAAGGAATTGAGAAAGGGCCTCCAGAAGCTGGGGACTTACTCAGACTCTTCTTAGAAGTCTACCTTCTTCCTGTATACTTTCAGCCCAAAGTGAGACTTTTGAGTTGGGAAGAGATACTTCTGAATTAAACTACTGATCAGTGTCACCCAATTCTAATCCCAACCACCTTTATTCTAGACATACCATACTCACTGCCATGCTTATCCTTCGGTTGGGCACCTCTGTCCTCCTTCCTATTGGCCTTCTAGTTCCTACCCAACTGTTCAGTCCACAGGCCTCAATAACACCTTTTCGCCCAGCCCTCTGGTAGCGTTGGCCTGCCTCCTTTACCTACTCAACCGCTTTACCACTAATTTATTGTTCTCTGTTTTCATCTATAGGATCTTACCTAGCCATATGGCCTGCTGCCTCTGCCAATTTAAAAATAGCATTGAGGTTGTCTGCAAGACAGTCAAGCTGCATTGCAACAGTGCATGTCTGACAAACACCATACATTGTCGTGAGTCCAAATTGCCTGGTGATCAATTGTTACATTATTTTAAGTATTTGTTTTTTTTATTTTTAATTGATAAATTTGTAAAGTGATGATATAATTGCTTTATTTTTATTTACTCATTCAGAGTTAAACTCCCTCAATTTCTGAACTATTCCCTTGCTGAGAGTCAGGTTCTCAGTTATTATTAGAAAATGTAATAATAGAACTGTTCCATATTCATAAAGGACCAAGACAAAGGAATGGGAAGACTAGGGAATAACATTAACATCCACACACTGTGTACTGTGCTCTGTGCTTGATGCTTTGCCCCCAGTGATAATTTCTTCATACAGTGCAATGTAGTTTGTAAGCTGGTTTTATATCCATGAGATCTCAAGTACTCTCGGCCTTATAGGACAGATGTAGATCTGGTTTTGTTTTTGTTTTTGTTTTCACAATTTTATAAGAGTACAAGTGATGCTATTTTATTTGAAGCCTGAGAGCTTCTGGTTCCATAACCAGAAATTGCTACCTGGCTCTTCTAATGGGATGAGGGATTTTCCAAGCTTAGACCATCCAACTCTGAACGTGCTCTGAATCTCAAACCTTTCTATTCACAGAACAAATGCTCAAGTGCTTTCAGGAGTTTTTCTGTAGATTAGGTTTATTAGCACCAACTTCATGACTTCTAAAATGTGACTGCTTTCATGTCCAGATAGCTTGAATACAGGTATCTACCAGTGATATGGGGTGGATGATGAATAATGCTTGGCTACTTATTTAAAGAAAATGTTGCTTATTTTTCAAAACTTTTTTTTTTACCAATTATATTCTTCCCTTCTCCCCAGGAGGTGGGCAGAACAGCATTGGTAATCTCCTTTTACAGATGAGGAAAAACAAGATCAGAGGTGCTAAGTGCTGTACCTTGTGCCAGGTCTTCTGTCCCAATTCTGGGTTCTCCCCAAGCCCATGTTTCTCCTTTCTCACAATCTTTACTTCTTCCTCTGACCCTCAGCACCACCCAAAATACTTTTAATTCTGGAAAAGAAAATCAGCTGCACACTGGTACACTTGACCTTCATGCAGTCAGAAGCTTTGGATGATTCTGCATGCAAAATATTAGAGATGAAATGAAAGCAAAGTAGGCATCTGACAAAAGTTGCTTTTTCCCTTCTGCATTTTAGGACCTCAAGTAATGTTTATCCAGAAACTGCTGTCATACCATAGATTCATTGTATATTTAACAACATAGGTATACAATCTGGCAAATTAAAAACCTCTTAACCTACACCCTGAATCCCTGCCCAAATTTAAGAAAAGAACTAGGGTGGACACAGTGTTTTTTCCATGTCGCGTCTTCTGTGATGGAGCTACAGTATGTGGGAGCAGAGAATGGGGTGGGTGGGTGGAGCGTGTGCCAGATGAGGATCTATCAGCAATGGGAGGGGCTCTCCACATTAGCATCTCCACCCTGCTCCTCTCAGAGGACCGCCTTCCATTGCATTCAGCTGTGATGGTAGCAAGAACACAGGCACACCGAGGACAAGGAGTGAGGGAGCCTTGTGCTCTCTCTCTGCATCTGAGGCAGGACAGCACAGGGTATGGAGCAGCCTGCAGAGAGGCCAGCTCATCAGGTCATCATGGTAGCACTTGTCTTCCACCTTGAGCTTTGACTGAGCACTGGGCAACTGGCCCCTGGGGATCAATGGAATAATCCTAAGCAGACTTACTCTGTGTCACACTATGGAATGTTCCAAGTAGGTGGCCATGTTTTCAAAAGATGTCTTTTCTCCTTTTGTTGTTGCCATTTCGTAGGTTTAGGATTGGGTGTGTGTTTCTCCTCTCTGAATGGCACTCGAATGTTTGCTGATTCCTACTCAGTGTGACTGGGGTGTACAGCTGTGGACTGATGCATGCTGTCCCGTCATCTTTCATGATCAAAGCAGTCTCTTCTTTTTTCACAGCTGAAGAAGCATCTGTAGGGAATCCAGAAGGAGCGTTCATGAAGGTGTTACAGGCCCGGAAGAAGCACACGAGCACTGAGCTGACTATTGAGCCGGAGGCGCCCTCAGACAGCAGTGACATCAACTTGTCAGGCATTGGGAGTGAGCAGCTAGACACCAATGACGAGAGTGAGGTTATCAGTGCACTAAGTTACATCTTGCCGTATTTCTCAGCAGGAAATCTAGATGCAGAATCAATGTTGTTACCGTTCATGAAACGGCTCTTTTCTAATGCACAAGATGGAGACAGGCCCCTGAGTATTTTGAAAAACAATACAAAGGGCCCCTCTCTTCAACCTGCATCCAACAACTCAACTTACGAAAGTAAATTGAGAAAGCTGTACTTGCTGGAAAATATGTTAGATACAGAAATACAAGAAAAAATCAATGAAGTTAAAAGGGAAGAAAAAACTGCCATGCTTATGCAGACCAGCCTTCTAGGTAACAAATTTAAACGCCAAATATTTGAAAAGAAATTAGAAACTGTCCAACCACAGGAAAACAGCCTGGCAAAGATTCAAAGTGAAGGCAGCAACCTGCAGAGAGTGAACAGAGTCCTCACGGGCCCAAGGAGCATCCAGAAAAGGCACTTCAAAGAGGTGGGAAAGCAGAGCACCAGGAGGGAAGAGGGTGCGCAGGCATTTGTGGAGAGCGCTGCCCAAGAAAAAAGGCTCGGGAGCCCGGTCTCAAGGGAGCTGGAACAGCCTCATATAGAGCAGGGGCGTGAGAAGTTAGTGGGAAACACCGTCTACACCAAGCCTTCGTTCACCCAAGAGCGTAAGGCGGCAGTCTCCTCTGTGCTGAAACCCTTCTCCATGGGCGAGCCTTCTGCCTCCACCCCTGCAAAAGCCCTACCTGAGGTCAGAGACAGATCAAAAGACTTAACCCACGCCGTTTTCATTTTAGAAAATGCAAAGGCTAGAGTTAAGAATATGAAGGCTGCCAAACCAATCGTACATTCCAGAAAAAACTACCGCTTTCATAAAACTCGCTCCCGTGTGGCCCACAGCACACCCAAGGCCAAAAAGAGTCAAAAGTTGAGAAAGAAAAGTTATCTCGATAGACTGATGCTCGCAAACAGGCCGCCATTCTCTGCAGTGAACAGCCTCATAAATTCTCCTTCACACGGGGCTTTTTTGCCTTTAGTAGACCTGAGTCCTAAGGAAAATCCTTTTCCTAAACTATTTGATACTTCAGAACGTGTTATAGAGAACACTAATGTAAAGAACACAACTGCAAGAAATGCCTTCAAAGAAAACATTTTTATGGAAAACACTACTATGCCGGAAGACACCATCTCTGAAAACACAACCTACAATCCTCCTCCTGAGGCAGATTCCTCTGGGACTGCGTTCAACTTAGGGCCAGCTGTTAAACGAACTAATCAGACACAATGGGAATACAACAACATGGGCACTGACCTGTCCCCCAAGCCCAAAAGCTTCAATTACCCGTTGCTCTCATCCCCAGGTGATCAGTTTGAAATTCAGTTAACCGAGCAGCTACGGTCCCTCATCCCCAGCGAGGATGTGAGAAGGTTTATTTCTCATGTTATCCGGACCTTAAAGATGGACTGCTCTGAAACC